ATAAATTTTATGTGAGAGGCTAATAGTAAGTTGTGTTCTTATGAAATATTTCAGCCCTGCTTTAAATGCCTTGATTTGGTATTTTAATATTTCTCATTTTAGATCATCACTGTAAAGGTTTTATCTACATTGCTACGTTTGCAGGACCATGTGTATTAATAACATTTGTATTAATAGCATTTCAGTGAGCATTCAACAGATGCTAGGTGCAAAAATGAAAAAATGGTGACAAGAATTCAGAAAACCACTACATGTACTGCTGGTTGATGAAAGAAAGGATACTCTTGGTACTTGAACGTTATGGCAGTTCTGGCAGTCTATTTGACCACTGTGCATGGAATGGTATGAGTTAAGACATAAATCCCATTCATTACCTCAGACATCTAAAAACGATCAAACAGCAACCTTGTCAATTTAACTTGGAAAGTTGTTTAAGGGTGAAGGGGTGAAAGTCTATACGTGGGTTCAAAAAGTCAAAATGGTGATTGCAACAGTGTGATCAAAGCTGTAACTTTTCTTTACTTGTGCCATGGCCACTAGTTTGTTTAGTCGAACCCTGGATTTCCATGGAGTTATTCCTTGATTATATCAGTATTCAAACATGATAAATAAACAAACACACAAAGTGAAAGTCAGGTATATATTATTAACATACTATAGAACAATATGTAGTCATTCATGCCCTAATCAACCTGTGGCTCAACTACTACAGTCTTTACATTGATCTGTCCTTGAGGAATACTTGAAGCTTCAACTGGTTCAAATGTAACAGCATGGACAGCGATGGCCATGCGTCTGTGTTATGTACACTCATCACCTCAAGATCTTCATGGAGCTTGTTGGGCTTCCAGGTGAGGTTCTATGACAGATTAGATGTCTCTGAAGGAGTGAAGATAGAGTTGAAAGTGGTGAATGAAACTAATAGTGATTTCTGGTCAACAAAGCTTTTCTGGATAAAGGAGAGACCAAGTGATTGCCCACTTGCACTCTGGACTTCTTCACCTTGTGCTGAGACTGTGGGATGGAAGTCCTGTGGTTTTCTCATGACTAGATTGAATGGGATTGAGAAAGAAACAGTGTGCTCACATATGTTAAGTGCAGCCTTTTAAAGGACATTCAGTTTGACCAAATGTTCACTTTCTTAATTACTTTCAGATACTGTCAAAAAAAAAGTCTTTGAAAGCAACAAGACAAAAAGGTAAAAGATGCGAGGGGGGGAGAAACTTGCCTTTCATTTTCATCTTTGTAATTGACTTTTACTTTTTAATTATAAGTAAAAGAATGGCAACCAATAGAAGATCTGCAAGGGTGAGGGAGGGAGAGGATTGTTGGAGCAATAAACAGCAAGGAGGATATAACCGATGTCTGAAGAAATGGGGAAGGAAGAATCTGAATCTGTTAAATCTATTAAAAGTGAGCTGGTTGCTTTTCAAGCGAGAATAGAAGAAAAATCTGTAAAGATGGAAAAACTTACAAAAAGAAACTATATGACAAGAGCACCAGCTGGTCTAATGGTTAAGGCACAAAACCAGGAGACCAAGAGTTCAAGTACTGCCTTAGCCATGAAAGCTGGCTGGGTGAGTTTGGCCAGCCACTGTCTCTCAGCGCAACTCACCTCATAAGGTGGTTGTTGTGAGGAAAATTGGAGGAATGTATGTTGGATATGTTCACTGCCTTGAGTTACTAGTACAAATAATACAGGCGGGATATACATAAATAAAATAAAATAAAGTTACCGGAGAAGTTAAATTAATGACAAAATGGAAATTTTTGAAAGTGAAATAAAATAATAAATAGAAAGACAGGAAAAGGTTTAGACAATGTGGCATTACCAGGATTGAAAAAGATATGCTTGAGATTTACAGCAATTTCAGTGGATCCTGGAAAAGACATCAGAGAAAACATTGTTCAATCTTCAATGAACTTTTTTTGGAAGGGGAGAATGATGATGATGATGATGATGATGTAAAAACAGAACTTGAAAAAGAGTATGGAATCAACATGTTGTTTGTAAAGTTAAGAAATGTACCAAGGGAAATTCTTGTGCGCTTTGTCAGGAGGAAGAATAGAAGTCACGTTTTGCAGCAATATTTTATTACCAGATTGAAGATTAATAATGCAGATGATAGTAGTTAAATTCAGATCAGAATACTGCACAGAGGTTTTATTTTTTACTGACAAACTCAAACAGAAAAAGTACAGTTTTGAACTTTTAAGTTCCACCCATTTTATGAATGGTTTTCACTTGCATTTGTGCATTCAGATTTGATGCTGAAAAGCAAAGTGAAAATGCAGATGCAATACCTCTTGGCAACTTATAAAAGTGATCACATCTGTTTTCAGGATTGGCTGCTGCAAAAGCCTCCCAGCAATAGCCATGTAAGCCTGGGAAAAGATATGGCTGGGTGGGAAACTAAACCACCCCACCACCACCCGCTCCTAGAAGAATGAAATATTTTGAGGAATATTAAAGAAGGCAGGGTAAAATATTTCCTCTAAAAGAGAAATAAAAAATCTTAAGAGAGACAGAAACTCAGAGCCCCAGCTTCTGCCCCCAGCAGATATTTTGTGCCCATTAAAAAAGACTGGGCCAACCTATCTACAAAACAAAAGACCTTCAGCTCCAGGGTGAAGGGATTAAGACATGACCCTTCAGGACATAAAATTAACCCACTAAGACAGAGAGCTCACTACATTGCACAATCTCCTAAGGACACTGCATGACCCTCAGAAACTTCAACCAAACTTAGCTCAGACAACCTATAGAGCCAGCTATGACCCCTACATGCCCCATGGTTGTCTAACAACATCCAACTGAATACATGTTCTTGCACAGGAACAGGAAGCTTAAGTGCAAAGCCCAAGAGAAGGTATAAAACCCCCATTCTCAACTCCATATGGTTAGCTGCACCCAGAACCATAAACATGTGGTGCTGTTCATCAATAAATGGACCCGCTTTCCAATCAGCCTTCATTTTGTCTCCAGAGCCTTTCTCCTGACTTGAAATTGAACTAGATGGATATTTCTTCCCACAACTGCTTTAGTAATTTGATGACAAGAAGTCCTTTGAGATCTGAATCAACTGATTGGAATCAAGTCCAATCTTATGCACTGTACAGTCCTACTTTCTTATCTGAACTCTTCAGCTTTAGGTACATTCTGTAATTCAGAATGTTTTAATTTATTTAGAATGTTATTAATTTATTTAGAATATTATTTCTTATTCCTTTTCTTCACTCTGCATAACGATACTTACCTGAGAGGGGATATATAATGAATATAAATGTACAATCCAAACTATGTGTTAATATATCATGTAGCTACTTCCAGGGAGCTCTTCTCCATTACAGAGATCCTAATTTTCAGTACTTTGTAAAAGCTGCATTACAAATGTTAATACAAGCAGCATAATTTACATTGTTGTTACTTAATTTTACTTTAGGACACATCTATCTGCATGTTAATTGCCTACACAGGAAGTAAATGGCCATGTTAAGAATTTTCCAGATATGCAAAAGCAAGAAGAAAAAAAAATGCTTCTGAGATTTAGTGAATGTCACCTTATTCCAATAGATTAGAACTTGGTTTATATTAAGCAAGCAAAAAAATAATAATCAGAATAGACAGCATAACTTGACCAAAGCTGTTCCATAGTTACTCATATTAGTTGGATTATATACATTTTATAATAGGTTACACTTTAAATAGCTAACCTATACCATGTTACAATACATTACCATGTGACATAATCTGTATAAATATTTGGTTATATTTTGATTTAAACATGCGAACAGAGTACAAGGAACAAAATCACATAATAAAAAAGGAATCCAGAATTAAAATCCAGACTATATGAAACGGAAATCAATTTAGTATATGATTTCCTGCAAATCTTCAATAGTTTTTAAAAACATGGATGCAAACTATCCAGGAGGATTTTGTAATTGTTATGGAGAAATCAGAACTGTTGTTAAATGGTTTCCAGTGTGTTTGTTTAAAGAAAATTAGAAAAGCTGAATAAAATGGAGATTTGAAAGTGCTCAGTAGAATAGCTACCACTTAAGGTTGGGTTAGTTGATTCTGCTGTAAACAGCTGCTTTGATTTGGGCTTGGACTACAGAGTAAATTTACATTCCAGATGACAATGTCACAGCTTATGCTGATCTGAAACCTTTACATTTTTTAAATTTATTTTTCCAAAAATAAAATACCAATACTGCACCGTACAAAGAAAAACAACAAAGCAAGAATTACAAACAAGATACAGAAAAATAAAAAGGAAAAAAGGTTTATGCAACAAACATAAAATTAACAGTAAATATATGACCTCCACCCTAGTTATTTTTGTATACAGTGTCAGCTGCAAGATCATGTGTACCAAATATTAGAAAGAAAAGGGAATTGCCAACACTGGACAAATGGATTTTGAAACTGATGGAATTGGCAGAGGGCAAAATTAACTGTGTTGATTAGAGACAATGGTTTGGATATGTCTGGAAACCATTTGTGGAATTTCTGCAAGTTAAATATATTAAGATTATAATAATATTAACAGAGGGCTTTGAAGTTTAATATATTTTGGGGGGTTAACAGGGCTTTGAAGTTTAATATATTTTGGGGGGTTAACAGTTAACAGCTTGTATCTCACACAAATCTAATAAATTTAATCCTTTGCATTGTGGATCCACAAATGGTTATACATATTTCATCTGTACTAGTGATGGCTAACCTTTTCATTGTCACGTGCCAAAATGCGTGTGTGCATGCATGACAGTGCACACATATGCCTGCACCCATAATGCAATGCACACTCACCCCACCCTACGCATGCATGCAGGACCCCCCTGTGCTCACCCCACCCCTTGCATATGTGCATGGGACCTCCCCCCGCTCCTCCCACCCCCCTTCACATCTCCCACATGCGCCCCCCCATGCATGCACGGCAGATACCTGAAAATTAGCTGGCTGGCGACGGCTCACGTGCCTACAGAGATGGCTCTGCGTGCCATAGATTCGCCATCATGGATCTATACCATACTTGTATATTGTATATTACCATTTTACATCACATTCTCTTAACAAGTATCTCAAATATACAAATCAATCAAATCGACTAAATACGTTCAAAAAAGCTATTAACTATTAACCGCCCAAAATATATTAAACTTTAAAGCCCACCCTCCCCGTTTCTAGAAATGGGATATAGGTCAGTATTATTTTATTGTAAAGGTATAACAACAGAATCTTGCAAGTCTGAATGTGCATCATTCTCCCTCCTTCTATCGCTATGTGAACTAGAGAAGGGCTTGTGTGAGATATTTTCTCAAGTTACTTCCTTGACTGAGATTGAGGCCTTTTTTATCTGACCATTGTTTTGGTAACAATTCTTCTTCCTATCTTTAAGGCTATTCCTTCTGCAGAATGATATGAGTTCTGGAGGACCAAGGTTGGGAAAAGCTATATTAGATTATGGGACAGCTGTTTAAATTACATTCATCAGTCAGCATTTTATGTAAAACATATTATGCAATCATAATTTTAAATTAGAAAGATTCATTAAATATGTGTTTGGACACATTTTGTTAAGAAAAATATCTAAAAATATTTCTTCAGCAGTGCTGATGTACAAAATATTCTTATGGTTTTAGAAAAAAAAAAAGATTGCACTTCTGCAAAAATTACTTCATCTAACTGAACAGTTAGTTACTCACCTGAATCACTTATTGCCCTGTCATTTGCAAGGCCATGTCGCAAGGATGAAAACTACAGAAGTGACTCATTAGCCCTAAACACTCCTATAGATATATTTAAATCCTTATTGAAAACCCCTGCACACAAACACAATCATTTTTCTTTATGTGGCTTCTCAATTCAAGTACTAACAGTGATGGAGCTAGAACAAGCTATCTCTGAAGCCAAAGAGCACATCCTTGAATTTGATTTAGAAGTCAACAGATCTAAAGTTACACATTATGCTTTTAGGAACTTTTATCACATCACCTTCATCTTTCCAAACTATCATTTTTAAAGATAGTAACCTTGAATAGCAGAAACACAGGAAGTTGTTTTTGAAACACAGCTGTTTCCTATACTGTCAGCTGAGCTTATTTCAGCTTCCTATCTCAGTGGTCCCCAACCTTTTTGGCACCAGGGACCAATTTTGTGGAAGACAATTTTTCCAAGAACCGGGAATGGAGTGGGGGGAGGACATGGAGAACACAAACTAGATCCCACGCATGTGCAATTTCACTCACTCGCTGCTCACTCCAGCTATGCAGTCTGGTTCCTAACAGGCCATGGATCGGGTCCTAGCTTATTGTTTTTTCATATAGAGCTACAAACCTCTCCTGTTGTGGGGACAATGAAAAAGAGATTGATACAAAATAATCCAGGAAACACTCAATTGGAAAAGGAGGGTCTCTGACAAGCAGAAGACAATGCAAGTTGTAGCCATCTTTTGAAGAACATTGTTAGCAGGCTCTGATGCTGTAAGATAATAAATCACAAATATATCATCTTTAGGACCGAGAACACAGAATTGACTTCTTCCACTGCATCTTGGATTCTTGTATCCAGAAAGGATCTGTCTTCAAGCAATGTTCTTATACTGCGAGAGATCCTGATCATTCAAATGGAGTCAGACTTTAGGCTTTATCCAGATGCTTATGTTATTTATTATCAACGTCTCAGTCTGAGTGTTAGTTACCAAAATGTGCACACAATGTGGGTCAGAGGTAGTAGTACTCTCTAGGCTCTGCTTGTCAAAATTTCCTTTGGCAAAGTGCCCAATGGTGACATAGTTAGCACATCTTGCTCTTGGTGTATGCAATTTATGAGTGCCCAATGCTACAAGCCCTTCATGGAGATAGCTATCTGGGTACGCTTGAGAGCCTGTATAGATCTGGATGCGGAAGATGGGGGCAGCCTGTTTAAAGATAAGTGTGAAGGAGTTGCCAGCAGATGGAGCCTTGCCCCAAAAGTAGCCTATCACACGACTGTAAGCCTTACTGGGTATATGATTCTGTAATGTTCCAATATCGGTTATTATATCTGCTGGGGGATTGTCAGGGAATTTAGAGAAATCCTCTTCAAAGTCCTCATCTTTCAGTCTGTTTCGAGTGCCCTGGAAGGAAGAATAGTGACCAATGTGTTGGAAAAGGGATTGCCTGAAACGAATTTCCTCCTTTTGCGTAAGCAGGAGACGGAAATGCACAAAAAGCCAATCACAAGGCATCTCTTGGTAAAAGAGCATGAGGAATCGAGCAAGCCTGGGGATGTCAGTAGAATGATAGAGTTTGGCAATGTAACCAAGTTTGGAAAATTCCAGAGTGACCCAAGAAGTGCCCTCCAGGGATGCCAGATTTCTTTTGATTACTGTGAGGAAGTGTTTGGTGCAATGGACATCATCCTCAATCATGAGGTAGTAGGTGGAGAGGTTGGATGCAAAGTTCATGAGGTAAGCATAATCAACATTCTGTTTTGATCGAAAGCGCACCCGATCCTCAGGATCATTAAAATTCCTTTTTAGGCCTTCCAAGGGAGGGTAATATTCAAGAGGCGTGTGGATAACTACTAGGTTTCCCTGATGGAGCTGATCAGGAAACCTTCTGGCAATTTCCAGCGCCATTTGAGAATTCCATTTACGGTCTGCATCTGTTAAATGTACCACTACCACCATTTCCTTCAGCTCGTCTTGAGAAGATTGTTCAAAGATGGATGTCAGAGTATCCAGGAGATAGGCCTCTCTCATCCGCTTGATAGAACAGAGTCCTAATGTCAGAAACTCTACATTGAAAAGAAAAAGATGAATGCACCTTGTAAGTTTGAATCTCGCTTCCCAGGGTGTGAAGTCATTTACTTGTTTGTTCTGTACCAGGTTTCTCCAACAATACGCCCTCCCAATAGGAAGACCCAGCATGTTTTCTAGGCATAAAATGAAAGTAAGCCCCTCCCCCCAAATTTAGGCCTAGTTTAAAACATGCGAAATTGGGGGGGGGAACTTGCCATTAGGGGTGCCCCATGGGCAGCTACGCCTCACCATCAGCCACTCCTAACACCATGGTGGAGCACGGAGGGCTCCCTTACCCTCCCTTACCCGGGTCAGCAGGTGGGTGGCATCAGCGTGGATGTCTGGCAGTGTTTCAGCCGCTTCTCAGGCCTCTATAGCTTCCATGGTTCCCACCGATGCTGGCACCTCTGTCGCCAGCGCCGTCTCCAACAACAGCATCTGAGTCACTCCCGCTTTCCCCCCATCCCTGTAACAACAGGAAAAAAAAAACATTTTGAGGTACCTGGGAGCGCCGCGCGCTGCATTTTGGTTTAATCCCGAGCGGCTGGGTGGGCGTGAGAAGAGCCGAGCGAGCATCTCTGCTGCTGCTACCCTTGGTGCTCCAGCCTCGGGCTCTGCAAGTTTGCAAAAGTCCCAATGCGCAGCCCGTTCCTGCATTCCAAGCGCCCAGGCCGAGCTGCAGCTGTCCCTCTCTCGCCAGCGTCGTCTCCAATAACAGCGGCAGCAGTGGTGGGAACTGTGGAAGTGTTTTAGCCACTTCTCGGGTGGGGGAGCTGCCTCCGTAACTACCACGGTTCCCACCGCTGCTGCCGCTGTTATTGGAGACGGCGCTGGTGAGAGAGGGGCAGCTGCAGCTCGGCCTGGGCGCTTGGAATGCAGGAATGGGCTGCGCACCGGGACTTTTGCAAACTTGCAGAGAGCCTGAGGCTGGAGCACCAAGGGTAGCAGCAGCAGAGGTGCTCGCTCGGCTCTTCTCACGCCCATCCAGCCGCTCAGGATTAAACCAAAACGCAGCGCGCGGCACTCCCAGGTACTTCAAAATGTTTTTTTTCCTGTTGTTACGGGGACGGGGGAAAAGCGGGAGCGACTCAGATGCTGTTGTTGGAGACGGCACTGATGCACGGGGGGGTGGAATTAATTCACCCCCCAAAAAAACGTCCTAGCCATTTTTTCGGGGCTCTACAAGAATCCTGCAATGAAATAAATCTGCTAATTTCAAACATATTAGGTCATATTTTGCTTTTAAATATTCCAAGAAAAAACTATAGCTAGCTGGAACATCAGTGCATTTCGTTAAAATGCCTTGAAAAATTTCATCGAGTTTACAAATATGCAGCTATTGGTTTGTTTGCAAAGTCAAATCAGAACCAAAGAGAGAAGGGAAAAATGTCCCTCCATGATAAAAGTACAGTAAAGCAAGCAGCAGAAACAAGGGGGAGGATGAAGCTGATCAAACACCAATAGCTGCATATTTCTCATTTCCATCAGCAGTGTAGGTGGCAATGGCTCCATAAAGGCATATTTGGCCAGGTGCTCACAACATAGACACACAATCCAGAAGTATTGCTGATCGCTCTTAGACATTGTACCCTGTTCCTTTTATATTTCTTAGGCAATAGGAAAGATATAAAAGCTAGTTTGGTGTAGTGGTCAAGGCACTCGGCTAGAAACCAGAGACTGTGGGTTCTAATCTTGCCAGGGCCATCTTAACAGCATTATGGGCCCCGGGCAAAGCAGTGTACTGGGGCCCCTACAACTACTCACAGGAATAAAAATGTAAATGGTCAATAAAATTAAACACATATTTACATGTTAGTATTAATAAAAAATGCAGTAAAATGTAATAAACATGTTGCTGTATTTATATGATACAAGGTGCATTGAAGGGTTAACATACACAGATTAATATGGGGCCCCTATGCTCGTGGGGGCCCATGGGCAAGTGCCCATCAGGCCCATGCATTTAGACAGCCCTGCCTTAGGCACAAAGCCAGCTGAGTGACCTTTGATTTAATTAATTTCTCTCATCCCTATGAAAGAAGCAATGCCAAACATTTCCAAAAATGTTGCCAAGAAGACTACAGGGAAATGTCCAGGCAGACTTCAGGAGTCAACACTGACTCAAAGGCATCACACGTACCAAAAAAGGATACATGAAATTTTTAGTACATCCCTACTCCTGTGCTTGCATCCTTTCCTCTCCTTAACTATTATGAAATATAACCAAAATTCTGATTGCTAAAGGAGAGGGGAGACAAAATACTGAATAAACCACTGAGCTGGAAACGAGACTCACCAGCCAACTGCATCCTCTTGAGAATAAGAAGAGAGCCTGAGCCTCATTCCTTCTCTACTTGGAAATAGGAATGAGGAAGAAAGATCTGCCATTATACATTCTGCTCTATCAGCTCTATTACCCAGAGCTGGGTACCAGCTCTATTTACTCTATTAACTGCAGAGTCATCCTATTTATAGAGATAAATTGGCATGAAGATTACTGCTCTCTTGGAGTACTTTTTGACTTAGGGTAGAAATAGAGATTTCTTTTTCCTTTTAAAATATTAGCCATCACAAAGGCCTGCCTGTTTGGATGTTCTAAAACAGGACTGTCAAACTCCCATGGGCCAGATGCGTCATGTGCTGGCCATGCTGACGCCCGGTTTAGCAAAGAGGAAAAAAGTCCCGATAGGTCATGTGATGCTGCCATGACGACGTGAGTTTGACACCCCTGTTCTACACTGAATTCCATTTATCTTTGGAGCTAGTCCTCGAAGTTACAATTGTTGCACCATCACATGGTTGCAATTCAGGCTCTTGGTAACCAGCTTGCACTTACTATGGTCTTAGTGACATGATTGCGATTTGTAACCTTTCCAGCTGGCTTTCCATAAGGAAAGTCAACTGGAGAAGCAGAATTTGCTTAATGACTGCGTGATTTGCTTGATATCCATGCTGATTCACTTAAACGCCTGTGGTAAAAATGATTATAAAATTGGGTCTGATCATGCGATGACTCCTTTTATGACTGCACTACCTTAGGATGGAAAGTCTGGTCCCGCTTGTGGTCATAATTCAAGAATTACCTGTATTTGACCTACTTTTTGCTGGTACTTACTTTTCTTGAGTGGAGGCAACCCAGCAAGGTAATCATAAGAGATATTCAGTGTGTTGGTGGCATTGATAAATGTTCGGAGACTATAAACGGTCCAGTCAGTCGCAATATGAGGCAGGCCCACTGTTTGAGCCCATTTCTGAATATCATTCTGTGCAGAAACAGACAATAATAGTAAACTTTCACCAAATCAATGCAGTAGCTTTCCATGGCTATGAAATGATTTCAGAAAAGCAGGAACCTGTGTCTCTCATTTACAGGGTTGCAATATAATTTCTTTTTGATAAGAAAATCCGACCACTCAAACTAAAACACAAAAAGTGTCTCTGAATTTCCAAAGTTTAATAAACCTTTTTTTAAAGAAAGGGAAACTCAGAATAACAGAGTTGGAAGGGACTTTGGAGGTCTTCTAGTCTAACCCTGTTCAGACAGGAAAGGAAATTTTATACAATTTCAGACAAATGGCTATCCAATCTCTTCTTAAAAATTTCCAGTGTTGGAGCATCTAAAACTTCTGGGGGCAAGTTGTTCCACTGATTAATTGTTGTAACGATCGGAAAATGTCTTCTTAGTTCTAGGTTGGTTCTCTCCTTGATTAGTTTCCATCCATTGTTTTCTTGTTCTGCCTTCAAGTGCTTTGGAGAATAGCTTGACTCCCTCTTCTTTGGAGCAATCCCTTAGGTATTGGAACACTCCTATCATGTCACTTCTAGCCCTTCTTTTCATTAAACTAGACATACACAATTCCAGCAACCGTTCTTTATGTGTTTTAGCCTCCAGTCCCCTAATCTTCTTTGTTGCTCTTCTCTGCACCCTTTCTAGAGTTTCAATATCTTTTTTACATTGTGGCAACTGAAGCTGAATGGAATATTCCAAGTGTGGTCTTACCAAGGTATTATAAAGTGGTATTAACACTTGAGGTGATCTTGATTCTATCCCTCTCTTAATGCAGCCTAGGACCTTCACTAGGACTCCAAGATCAATCTCACAATTAGTACTATTGAGCCAGGAACCACCTGTACTATAACTGTGCATTTGGTTTTTCTTGCATAAATGTATCTCATCTGATTACAAGTATTTGGCGAACAAGGGCATTTATTGACTCTGAACATCAAGGATCGGACTTATGTCTGCTGCTTCTGCTTTTTATTTGTGAGATAGGGATATACCTGGTGTCATTCAAAATTTTCTTTGCATTCATTTCTGCCTGGATTGAGGGAGAAAATAATGGTATAAAATTAGGCTAAAGGAGGACAGATCTTTATTAGTTGAAGATTCCATGTTGGCACCTACCCATTTACTGTATCTTACAAATAAAACTATAGGCCAATGGTCCCCTTCTTTCAGTGTATTCCCAATACCTGCAAGTCCTGAAATGGTGAGTCAAGATTCATAGGATGTGCACCGTAATGATGCTTTTTGTTGCATTCTGCAGGAGTGCTTCATTTTAGGTTAAAAGAAATCTGCTTTCCATCCCACTTAATGCAGATAACCCTTCTTCCATGTATGCCAATAAAATATTAGTTTGGCAGCTATATAATGAAAAGTATCCTTTATCAGGTAAGCCTGGTATCTGAAGTAAGAATACTCATCTTAGGAACTAGAAATACATTTTAATTTGAAGTAGAGGTCCCTATACATGCCACTGCTTCACCCTCCAGTTCTGAATACTCCTGCCATGGCAAGGTTGAAGGTAGATGTGCCATGGCAAGGTTGAAGATAGATGAATTTCATTCAATTTATATTTTTAAGAGTATCAACTAGATCTGTACTTTTTAGACTAAGATGCTGATTGAATTTTTGCATTCCTAAGTTTTGTGTAATCAGTTTGTTGTAGTGGCTAGGGTATCAGGCTAGAAACTGAGAGGCTCTGAGTTCTAGTCCCATCTTAGGAACAAAGCCAGCTGGATGACCTTCAGCCATTCATTCTCTCTCAGCCCTAGAAAGCAGGCAATGATAAACTACTGAAAAAAATCTAGCCAATAAATCAGCTGGGACTTGTTCATGCAGTTCTCAGGAGTAAAAATCTGACTTGAAGGCATACACACAATTTTTGTGACATACTTTTTAATTAAAATACTGCATTTTAGAGTAATAATAATAATGCATACTTTGTATAATTGTTTTTCAAATATAAATTGAATGGGATAGATGTACGGTACATATGACCTTTGAAGAAATGGGCAGAGGCCTGTCTTCCCATAGTGGCCACAATCTGGATGGAACACCAGTTCTTTCAAAAAACAGGACAGCACTACATTGTGCTTTCCTTACCTCAGAAAGTGTCGGGAGAAAATTAGGCAGCAAATTGTCACTTTCATCATTATTTCTTTGTGCAGATCAGCACTGACATTCTGCTTGATTATCTGCCAAAGTTTTAATAAGGGGCTACTAATTTCTATGCTGCTTATCTCTATCCTCATGTTTACCATAAAACAGTGAACAAATCAGCATGAAAATAAAGAGAGAACTTGCATCCAAAAGAGAACTTAATGTAGTTAAAATGGTTTCTTAGAAATACTCAAAATTTATGAAACAATTTTGGGACTTCTAACAGAGCAAGAACTCAACAATATGTGTGTTATTCTCTCTCTCTCTCTCAGCAAGTGTGTTGTTATTATACTTACCATCACAAGATCTTCATGGTGCCAAGAAGTCAGATTCATGATGAGTAGGAACACAAAGAGAGAAAAGGCTGTTGCAAGTGATCGTTTCAGGGAACACCTCATGACAATGGATACTTTGGAAAGAATGTGTTAGAAGCTAGTGAGTCTGCAAGCGTTCAGTTCTCACCATGTCATCTGGAAAAAAAATTAAGAAGATGTTATAAATATCTTCTCAATGTCCTTATATAACACAATCATGCCTACTTAGTCACTAACTGTATTGCCAACACATCTGTACTGGAGGTAAATCAGGTTCCAAAAATTTAACATCAGTTGACTGTAAATTGTAACATTTATCTTTGTTAATATAAAAGGTACAATTGATAAAGAAACCAGGAAATGTAAAAATGATTCAAGTTAAATAATGAGATTTTATTGACAGTCTTGTCAGGCAGTTTAATATTACAGAAGTGTCAAGAAGACTATAGAGAAGCTGCTAACGAAAGTCCTTCAAATATTCAAAGAGCTTCTTGCATCTACAAAACAGATTATTTATCCAAGCCTGGTCTTTGCCTTTTCTGCTGCTAGCTTTGAAATATTGAGTTTCTAGAGATTTATTGTCATGCCCTGGCAAGCTCTAAAGTCTAAGGCTGCTCTGAAGAGAAAAAGGCTTGATAAGAGGTCTCAGTTCTACAAAAAAGAGTATGTCAGGAAATTTAGTCTGGCCAGGCAACCATTTATAAGCATATTTTATTAAGGGACTCTTGCAAAAACAGCCGTGCTAATGAGATTTCAAATTACCGGTCCACTCAACTCATCATTCTTTTAATCTAATCCTGTCTACTAAGCTCCCTTTTTATGATTCTGCAGTCCCTATTGGGGTAGAATCAGAGTGACTGGATGGAGCTGAGCATTTATTGGCTGGATGCCCTTGCTGGATGCCTATGGGAAATTTGCAGCAGATATTTTCTCTTTGCCCCATAGGAGAGAAGGCACATTTCCTGGGTCTTGAGATGACTTTGTTTGAGAGCTGGATCTAGCTAGATCTTCTATTGGTAGGGTTATTTGGAGATGGGCAGTTGCATAACAAACCACACCCTGGAAGGCTTTAAAGCACCTTGAATTGTACTGGTAACCGGAACAGCTCATGAGTAGAAATGTTACATGGACATATTCAGGTATCCCCATACCCATCTACACTGCTCTATTCTGAACCAAGTATAGTTGCCAAATACAGTCCCATATAAAGTGCAATCAGATGAGAAGTGACCAGGCATGTACAATTATGTGTAGATTCTATTGATCCAGGAATGGGTACAATTGGTGCATAAGACAGATTTGTGCAAAACCCATGGCAGCTAGCTACTTATCAAGAAAGACTTGTCGATCTAGGTAAAAAAAAAAAAGAAGTCCCTGCGATTTTACTCCGCTAGTCAATGCCAACTATGGGGGGGAAGGGAAGCTTTTCTCCATTTCAAGGCCATTAACCCAGCGCTCTCCGGATTTCGGCAGTCATGTGGACAGCATGACATCACAGAGTACTTACCTTCCCACCCAAGTAGTACCTGTTTATCTACTCTCATTTGCATTTGAACTGATAGGTTGGCAAACGTTAAGGCAAGGGTGGGAGCTCACCCCATTGCATGGCACTTGGGTCTCGAACCTGGGCTGATGGCTTTTCAGCTGACAAGCCCAGCATCTTAACCACTGAGCCACTGCACAGCCGAAGGATGACCCAATATACTATTAGGTCTGAATATTAAATCCCCCTTGCTGCCTTGGAATTCTGGGAGTTGAAGTCCACACACATCTTCAAGTTGCCAAGGTTGAGAGACACTGCTCCAGATCTAAGATGCTTCAATATTCACAACCAGTCTTGTTAAATTTCAGTCTATGTCTGTTCCTCCCATTCCATCTGGCACTGAGTCACAACACTTGAGCAGTCAAGGGCTGAGATGTATATTTGGCAACGCAGGTATAGATGGGAAGAGATGTATAATTGCCAACTCCATGCTTATGAATGACATCACCCAATGGCCTCATGTAAATGTTAAACAGGAGAGAGAATCAAGCCCTAAGATACCCTATATAACGACAGTCTCGGACTGGACCTTCTTCAGCTATAATTGAACCAACTGGATTTGCGATAGGCTGCATTGAGGACTGTGAAGAAATTGTGAACCCAGTCACTTGGAAGTTTGATAAACTGTTTGTTTCCTGACTTCCTGAGGTTAAATGAGTCAATGTAGTTAGCAGCAGTTTAATTCTGATGAAAATATTTTTATCAGATGGATTTCAGTACAGTATTTCAAGCCAATGCTAATTCGCTTAAACTGAACTGCTGCCAGCTTATATTGTGAGAAATCAACACAACCCCTGGTTTTCAGACAGGAAATCTAGTACTGTGGTTTCAAGGCTATTCAAAGTATTTCTCTGCAGTGTTACCTCAAAGTCAAGTTCTTCCAGCAGTTGTTCGTCTAATTTATAGGTGGCTCAGTATGTTTGTCTATAAAAATACATATTGAATCTAATTATATTCAAACAGATTCCATTCATTCCATCCATCCAAGAGAGACTATAAAAAATTCTAAGAAGGAAACAAAAAGATCAGAACACATCCTCTACACCAGCCAACACCAGATAAGCAGACAATTAAGCAAAAAAACCAATACCCTAATCAAAGAACTACCAAGGAGAAAATATTGCATATACTGGCAGGGTAAACTGCTGTATATAAACAGGGGGAAAACCCCACTGTGTCTCACACTGATGGTTTTTCCCAATTGGCTAATGAAATACCTGCAAGCAAACAATCCAATTCAGAGAATACTAAGAACTTCACCATCCAAAATAGGTTTGTGTAACCGAGCTTGCAACAGAGAAATAATCTGTTAATTGTTTTACAGTAAAGAATTCTATTATTTTGAGTATTCCTCTGCCAATGCAGTTAAACTCTGTTATTAGAAAAGATAAGCCAAGTTTTTAATATCCTCTTCTGAGTTAAAACCATATTCTAGTATATATTACAGTTAGCGTACTCAGTCATACACTGGCAAACCATCAAATAAATAAAGCTCTGCAGTAAATTGTTTTTATTGGTTCAAGCAATGAATAAACACACTCCTTAAAATAATTTTATCAGCAATAATACAACTCAAGATGATATACCCATAAAGAGTGTTGAACGACAGCTAGATATTATAAGATATTGACTGCTTGTTGATGATTGATCCCATGAACATTTCCTGGGTGTTATGGGTTAGAAGGTAGTTGAGTGCATTTCATTAAACATGAAGAAAATTCCAACTGACGGGGTTTAGGAAAAAAGTCTTTGCTATTGCACCTGCCCTATGGAATATTCTTCACCTGGAGATGGGGGGGGGGGGCTTCTCTTGGTCTTCTGAAAAGGGCCCTTGCACGGGGAGTCCAAAGGAGCACACAAGGGAGTTGGTCTAATTCTCAGACACTGCCTGGACAAGTTCCCAAAGTATTTTTTAGAATTGGCTTGGCATTGCCTCCTTCCAAGAGCTGAAAGAAAGAGCCGAGCCCAAGGTCACTGAGCTGGCTTTGTGCCTAAGGCCAGATTAAAACTCATGGTCTCCTTGTTTCTAGCCTGATGCTATTGACCAGATTTCTGGAATATGGGGCTAAGAGATAGAGGGAGGAATATAAACGTTATCAGCACCAAATTCTGATTAGGAAAGTTGAGATGGAAGCAAGGCACAGGTCCTAACAGAGCCTAATTGTCTTGATGTTAAGGCTGAGACATGGATACTTAATCCTGCACAGTGTCTTCCTTGACCCATTCTGGGTACCATCAGTGGTGGGATTCAAAAAATTTTTTACCACCGGTTCGGTGGGCGTGGCTTGGTGGGCGCGCTTTGCATGTGTGCACACACTTTGCTTGAGTGCATCAAACATGCACTTTGCGCAGGCGCAGAAGCATTTGCGCAGGCACAGGGCGTTCCAACTCACCTCCTGTAAGCCTGCACTCTCCCAGTCGCTTCAGCAGCTGCCACGCAACACTCTGCTGTGCCATGCAAAGCAGCTGTACTTCAAAAGCAAAGGTGAGTATGGGAGCACGGGTGGGTGGGCCCAACAGCAGAGGAGCGGAGAGAATGGGTTCGGTCTCTGATGATCATCAGTGCTACCGGGTCAGCAGAACTGGGCTGAACTGGTAGAATACCACCATTGGTACTGCTGGAAGTATCAGGGATATCTAGCTCTCAATATGCAAGTCATTGACTCACCATGTTTCCTGGAACAGAAGGATATCAAATGGGATAACACAGCACAGAAATGCTGGTTTTCCAACTGGCATGTCCCAAAGGTGCTTTTTTCGAACGCAACTGGACCGGGCCTTTGAAAAAACACCTTTGTGACAACCATGCTCTGGATGACTGAGAATCTCCATAGACATTTCCCAAACGGCAATATTCCCAGAAAGCAGTGACAAAGATTTGTAGGAGCCTGCTAGCCAAGGAGATTCAGGATCAGTCACTGCTGAATCCATGATTGGAGTTTTTCCTCCATTCAGGTTATTGGGCAATTAGAAAGGCTAAACTGAACCAGTGGTATAGTGCATTATTATTTTTTCAAGTTAGAAAGAAAGCAAAAGAGGTATTTTGGGGATTCCATGTCAGATATTTAGAGTCTTAAGAGTTTCTACAGAGGTTTAGCAAAGATAAAAAACCTCTGAACTTCATTTAGACTATATATAGTTCCAGTCTCTGAAGCAAGAGAGAGAAATCCGGTCTGTTCATTCTCTAGGAAGGTTTGATTACATAAAACTGCCCTTGATACAACAGGCCTCCATGATTTATTGATTGCTGGGAGGTGGCTTTATGGAACAGAAAGTTTGCCTCTTAAAAAAAAACAACACAATGATTTAATGTGATGTGATGATTTTCTCTGAGTTTATTAAGGAGGAGCTGCTCATGAAGTATTCGATGCCATTTTCTCTCCTCTTTGCTTCTTTCTACTGCCCAGGCTACCCTGTATCTCCAGCATTCTTTGAATAAAGATTGGAGTTAAAGCAGGAATCTCTAATTCTCACACCAAAACAAGCCACTTTGTAAAGGATACATAGTAGAACCCCCCTAAAAAAGGAAATGAGCAATAACATGATTGCTGACTCACAAAGGTGAAAAAAGAGACTGAGGATTTAAACTTCCTTCTTTAGAAGGAAGGATTCT